GTTCCAACAATGCCATATCTTCAATTACAGGTCCCTGTCAGCCTTGTCTGCCTATCATAGTGGTTTGATCACACCAATGAAAATCCGCACAGAAGCTCCTGGTAACCTACGCTTGTATGGTGGGAGCCCCACTCGGAGTGAGAAGGAGCAGGTCTCGATCAGCTCCTTCTACTATAAGGAACGGGTAAGTTTCAGAACCAATGGACTTGGGCTTTTGTCAGCTTTCCCTAATTTTTTGTTCCCTGAGGAACTTGAGTAACAACAACAGCATTTTATAATCTGACTCAAGACCACCACTTTTCACACAGATTGCTGATTTGGCTCTTCTCTCATTATTTTAATGACCTGTGTTTACTTTTTGTTGTGTTTTGGGATAACCCACTTCCTTCCCGCCACATCTAACCTTACTCATTTCCATTCATTTTGTGAACTATCTTACTACTTTATATAGAGTGGGTTAGCTTCAGGTTTTTCCTTATGCTAACCTGTTCTCCTGGTGATTCTAAGGACTCCAGACCTTGATGTTTCTAAGACTTAGTATTTGTGTCTTTCCTTTCTCCTAGGAAATGGGGAATGGCCAGAATGGAGGCATCTGTGCCATTAATCTTGATTGCTCTGTTAGGCAGTTTTGCCTGTTTTGTTTTGTTCTTGTGTGAAGGAGATTTCTCTAATGTATCAGGAAATGATTTTTATGACAAGATTGAGACCAGATTAGGAGTGGGTCTCAAGTCAAATCTGAGCAAAAGCATTTGTGGTCCAGATTTCACTTAGGCAGTTTTTTTTCCCAGCCTGACTTTTAGGGCTAAGAATGTTGTAAGATTCAAGTGGGACACAAACTTCTTGGTGATAAAAAACAATTATAGAGTTTTAAAGGCTATTTAGCTATGAAAACTTAGAAATGCTAACGAGGTAGCAGGTCTTTTTTTTAAGTTAGGCTCCAACGGTTCTTGTGTTTTCGAGGAAAGCCAGACCAATTTGCCATTTAAATGGATTTCTTGGTACACAACGCACTTGAACTTGTGCCAGGGCTCCTGGGTTTCTGAGGTGCTCACTGACCCTCTGATTATGTTGAAGGCCTGAAGGTGTTGGGAATCTCTGAACTTAGAGCCGTGCTGGAGAGGGCACAGCTTCTCTGGGAAGTGGATGAGCAGAAGTGGAGCGTCTTCCTGATTGCCCTTAACCAGGGCTGGGCTTAGAGTTGTTATTGTTGTTGTTGTTTAATGGCCTAGTCTTTTCCATGGAAAAATAAAAAACTGAAAGTCTAGGAAATTAAATAGCAACAAGGCGTCCGGCCACGGGCACCGTCTCCTGGGGATCATTGCTGCCCCCTTCTGCAAAAGAGATTTCCTGATCCTACCTCCCATTTGTTTGACCTTTTTGTGAGTCTCTCTGAGGTCTAGTTCAACAATCCCCTATTTGATTTTTATAGCCCATGCTTTCTCAGTGCATTTTTACTTTCTTGTAGAGTCTCCCTGTGACCCCCTTGAAGGAATCAGAATAAAGAATAGTGCCATTGCAGAATGAAGTTTTGTGAAGGGAAGAGACCCAGTCTTTGGGGATCAAGTTCGAAAGGAAGCTTGTGAGCCATTTTTGGCTGGCTGCTCTCTGCCTTTGGTGGGTTTGGGGTGGGTGTGCTTGTGTGTAAGCTCATCCAAGGACTGACTGGAGTGTTGTTCTGTACAACACAGTGGTCTCTGCTTTTGATTGAGACTGAATTCAAAGCCTGGGAAAATGTTAGCAGAGAGTTACAAAGCAGAAGGAGCTCTCAAGTCATTAGATTGCTTGTCCAAGGTGGGGGGGCCTTGCTGAGGTGTTGCCAGAAGGGAACCAGCTAGATGGTGCAGTGGATAGCACACCGGGCCTAGAGCCAGGAAAACTTATCTTCCTGAGTTCAAATCTGTCCTCAGACACTTATTAGCTGTGTGACCCTGGGCAAGTTACTTAACATAATTGCCTCAGTTTCTTCCTCTGTAAAATGAGCTGGAGAAGGAAATGGCAAACTACTCTAGTATCTTTGCCAAGAAAATCCCAAATGGGGTCACAGAGAGTCAGACATGATTGAAATGACTGAAAAACAATAACATACATATAGGTGTAAGTGAGGCCTCAAGCTTTCATGATTCCTTGAAGTCACTGACTTCCACCTCCTCAACATTAGGAGCTCTCATCCAGCAACACTGTCTCTGTTTCCCATCCACAGTCATTTTATCCCGTTTCATAGTCAGTGAGCCATTTTGTTAGCCTGGGTGTCCAGCGGAGTACTGCCACCCTCTGCTACTCTTTGCTTCTTCCACTCCTCTTTGGTTCTTGCCAATATTTTGACTCCGCTTATCCAAGGCATTCCCCTGTTGTCCATCCCCTAAGTGTATAGCTTATGACCCTCAGATATGTCAGTTCTGTGAATGAGCTTCTCCATTTTAGTAATGAAGACTCTTCTCTCAGCCTCCCACTTTCTACTTAGAGATGTAGCCAGGCATCTTTATATGTCTCAGAGCTGTGAGTTCTTTAGACCTTTGGAGCTGCACAGACATTGGTCAGAATCCTAGATTCTCTGGGCTCTGTAGGTGGTCTCCTAGCCTCCCAAAACTTTAAATGCAGTCTTGACTGATAACGGTTATAACTGACATTATGTTTGGAATTGGGGTGGGAGTGGGGTGGTTAAAGAACAAAGTACTGTGAATGCTTAGGTTTTTGTTTTTCAACAAATACAGTTGTCATTTTATAGTAAATCACAGTACTTTCTGATCCATCAGATTTATGGAGAAGTTTCATTTTACTCTATATTTTTCCTTTTTAATTTTCTTGGTGTTTTTCTTCCCTCCTCTTGGGTGTAACGTTTTCTTGCACAGATGTCTCCTCGCTCTGCCCGGCGACGTTGGTCCATACAAGCAATTAACGACTTCCCGGTACTGTGCGCTGTGCTAATACTCTCCTTAACTAACCCTGTCTCCTATCTGAGGGCCCAAGAATAAAATGCCGCCTGTCTGGCTTGGAGCAACCCAAACAACAGGCTGAACCAGTGATAATGAACTTGTTTTCACTTTGGGGGGTGGGGGATGGGGATTGGGGACACAAATGGTGGCAGTGGGGATGCTGGCAGACACCTTGAATGGACTTTTGAACATGGGTCCCAATTCTGGGTGTCTTGGAAATGACCCCCATTGGAACATTTTAGCTAACTATGATGTCGCTTTGAATGCATGCTATTTCTGAGAGATTCAAAATAAACCACTTTTGGGGTGGAGGAAGCCAAAGGAAGGTATGAGAGGTGTCGGCCACTCTGTCCCTCTCTCAGCAGCTTTACTCCTTTCAGAAAAGGAGGGTCATACGTGCACCCCCTGCCTGGCACTGGGTGTATCACAGTCTATTCCTTAGGGAGTTTTCAGGGGGAGAATTCTTTTCACTCATCGCTTATAATAAAATCTTTATTTATAGACATTCTCTTAAATTCATTCCCGTTGACCATCTACCTTTTTCTGGCCTTCTGTCCCACCCTTGAAATTGACAAAAGTTGTGCCAAGAATAGATGAGGAAAGTGTGTGTGTGTGTGTGTGTGTGTGTGTGTGTGTGTGTGTGTGTGTGTGTGTTGGTCTGAGCCTGTGATTTCATTGGTGTAGGGAGTTTCTGATGAGGAAACGCCCTCTACCGATGCACACCAGCATCTGTTCTACACTTTCCATCTTAGAGACTTGCCTGGGGCACTGAGAGGGTGAGGGACTTGAAGTCACACAGCCAGTATGCCTCCGCCTCCTAGGTGAGATTTGAGCCTTGCTCTTGCTGGCTCTAAGGCCAATCTACACACACCTCAATGTATATGTATAGATTGTGTCTGTGTGTGTTTGTGTGTCTGTGTACAGAAAAATGGAAGAATAATGAATATTCATTTTCACATAGAAAGTTGACACCAGCAGCCCTGGTAGAGTGAATCTCCCTACTGCTAGCTGCTGTCAGCGAGAATCCCTGCTGCAGCCACCATCTCCGAAAGACCCTGACTGAGCCAACCTGGCTGCTGAATTTCCTCAGTTCTGAGGGAGCCTGGAAAAGAGCCTGGGTTGTGGCCCATTTGCTGATTGTGCGGGGTTAATTGGGGTTACTACGAAGCAGTTGGCGGCTTATTCTTGGGCTATATGTTTTTACATTTAACCCATTTAGTGGCATCACTGTTACCTCAGGTGACAATGACATGCTTCAATCTGGTGGTACAATTGTGAGCTGGCTTTTGGTCATTATTCAGTGGTTTTTTTTTTCACCAATCCTCCCTCTCCCGATACCTACTCCATTTCTCTCTTCCCCATAATTATGTGAACTCTTTGATTCCACATGCATAGAATGGCTGATTGGGTCTCAGTTGGTTATCATGGTAATTGGCACATGTCTTTCAGTTTGTCTTTGTCTCCCCATATCTGTCTTCCCCTTAATTCTGAATCCCTGTGGTAGGAGCACTTCCTCCCACTGATGCGTTGTTCCAAAAATCAAAAGAGAGATTCTGGGTCCTTTATCAAATATTAGAAATATTCTCCATTTAGGCTTGTCAGAATGAGACTGGAGCAATGCAAGGTATGTGGCTTCAGTGACCGTCTACCCCCCATGAAATGCTGATAGCCATTGCTTTATAGGCCTGGGAGTCTAGTAAGGAACCCATGCTTTGTTCTGATGGCTAGGAGTGCAGAAGTAAGTTGCAAAGTGATGGGAGAAAATATCAAGAGAGAAAATCCAATCAGGAAGGCAGAAATGGAATGTTTAATTTCTTACCTGCCAAAGCACTGTAGAAGGCACATTGAAAATTGCTTAATCACTTGGCAGGCACTTGAACTATTCAATAGAGGCCAAAAGATTCAAGCCGGCCATCAGAGGTCAGAGGTCCCCAGCAGAGCACAGCTCTTGCCTGTCTGGCTTTTCAGATTATTTGGCCATTGTACGGCTTTGTTTAAAAGCTTGGTTTCTCTTTCTTTTTTTATTTTATTTAGTATTTTCTTTTTCCCCAATTACATGTAAAAACTGGCCTCTCTTTTTGTAACGAGATATCATACATAAATATTTTGTCTTGTGGAGTCATCTAGGAAAATCTCTGAACTTTATGTAGTTATCCTATTGTTGAATTATAAGACTGAATCTTATAGTGGTTTCTATAGATTGATTATTGGAGGCAGCTGCCCCTGTGATTTGGACTCTGAAAGCGGTCTTCCAAGCCTCCAGGATGCACTACATTTCCAATAAAGAATTAAGTAACGCCCTGGAAGATTTGAGATCCTGAGAGAATAACCAGGAAGTCCCTGGAGCTCTAGGCCCAGGCTCTGCTAATTCAGTAAATAGATGACTATGAAGAGGCATCACAGCATTTTGAGTTGCAACCTGTGGAAGCTGCAGAGCTCAGTTTGAAATATAACCTCTTAATGCACAATGCTATGTAGGCTGTAGACTCCTTAAGCAATCCTACTGAAGAAATAGTAATAGCTCACATTTGCAGAGTGGTACACAGCGCTTCCATTTACATTTTCATTTGACTTTTACAACCTGGGGGGTGGAGGAAGGGTCATCAGTACACATCAGTATTATCTTCATTTAACAAATGAGGAATCTGATGCCAGATAATGGCAGGTCATATTAAATTTGGCCAAGATTACCAGGTGGAATTGGAATTCAGCACAGACTTAACACTTCTACTTGTAACTCCAAGCCTACTGCTGTAATTATTACTACCTGTCATTTTGCAGATTGGCCAGTATATTTGCAAATGGGATATTTTCTGCATATAGTTCGTGTTTTAATAGGTATGACTCATTTATTGATGAAAACTAAGAAGCCAGAAATCTGCCATGTAATTAGTTAATGTCATTGTTTTCTAGAACATTTGCTACTTATAAAATAGTAGAAACAATTTCCTTGTGGAACGTTAATTTATTTCTGTCCAGTGTATCATTATTAGTATCGCTCACATATTTAAGTGCTTCATTTTCTTTTAATATATTTTTATATTTATTAGCATATTTATGTTAGCATATTAGTTAGCATGTTAGCATGTTAAGTATCTGGTTTGGCTTCCAGGAAGATTGATTTAACAGCCTATTAGGAAACTCATCTAAGACAGAAGACTAAATGAAACTGACCAATATTTAGCTTTTGAAAGAGGGATGTTGTTAGACGGATCCTGTTTGAGCTTAGAAATGTTCAGTTACTATGGTTATGGTAGCAAGCTGACTCCTCATCTGAACCAGTTCAGCAGTGCCCACGAGAGGATAACCTCCAGCACGGGCTATGTCTTTAGAAATTTGGATGCCATCATAGTAAAAATTAGCTTAACTATTCATCATGTAACTGACTTACAAAACACTCGAGCAAATAACGAGGCACTCTCTGGGGTCATTGTGCAGAGGGATGATAGATGAATGCTAGGAGGTGTGGTATTGTCAAATGGTATTTATTACATCATGCGAGTGCATGTTCTAGCTGTCAACATTGCCTGGCTCCAGCCTATTCTGACAGTCTGTTACCTTTTAACATACTAATTGCTTAGGATTTGGGCACTTCCTCCACCTGCATGCATTTCATTGTTCGAACATTGAAATATTAATTAGTTTTATCAGCATGCACAGAGAGACATGCTTAAGAAAAAGCTGAAAGAACTGAGGGGCTGTCTAGCCATTATGGACTAATCTTCCTCTGAAATTGCTGCATAATTCTGTTTATGGTTAAATGTGGAAAATGTTCCTTCAGAAAAATTGGATTCAGATCCCAAATGATAATGCACTTCCATTTTATCTCATGGGTGTTTAAAACAAGGTATTCCTTCATTTACCTGCCATGACCTAACTTTAGGTTCTAAGAGTTTTGTTGTTTATGTAGCACTTAAGGATTCCTTAAGAAGAATTGATTGTCTTTCTTTAGGAATGAGGCATACTGGAATCTTGCAGGAGAGAGAGAGAGCAGTTCTCAGAAAGGGCGTAGACTTGGCTTGTGATTTAAGAAATGAAAGACAAATTTTGTTGAGATGAACTTAGTTGTAGATAAAGAGTTTTATTTTTTAAGTTCTCATAAGAACATAAAGAGTCCTTTAACACTAGGATGCATCCCCACATTATGTATGTTTACTTCCATGCCCAGTGCTCCTGTCCTGGGAATAATCACACCCTTACTTAACCCAAGGGCTATAGTATGATAAAGTATTGATGTCATGATTAATGTTACTGAAAAAAACCAGATGGGGAGAATATATTGATTATTCTCACTGCAATGAAAATTTCACACGAATAGCCACATTTAAATTGCATGTGAGGCATTTTATATCCAACACCACAATCTCTCTACTTCCTAGACATTTTTGGCATTCTTAGGTGACTAGTTGTAAAAATAATGACAAATAATGATAATAGGAAAGATTCAGGCTATCTCATTTTGAGCTGCCTAATTTCTCTCCTCTACTAGTGAGAGTGGTGATTTTGTTCAGCATAGACCAGATTGCAAAACCCACATTATTGTGCCCTAATAAAAAGTTTCAACAGATCCTATTGGAATTGACTGAAGGAAGAAAAAGTGGATGTCAGTTCAAACACAGAACTTTGATTAAAGTGATTAACATAACTAAAACAGTTTTTTAGGTCCTTTTGTTTCAGATGGCTTTTTGCTATCTTTATATAGCTCTGTTTTGTTCTAGCTTCAGTCATAGGAAAAATCAGTATGCAGTCATTAAACACCTATTAAGTGCCCAGTCCTGTACTAGGCATTGACAACCCTTTCTGGGATTTTTGGACCAAGAGTTCATTGCCCTTGTCATCATTTTACTTCCAGAAGTTGCTGTCTTATTATGGGCATGCTGCATTGGAAAGTCTTTGTAGACTAGGCACTGACCCCAGCCCACTGAGCTGTTCAGTTCTAGGTTGGCGTTCTTTATGACCTCTCATTAACATGTTTTCTTCTCTTCCCCTAGAAATCACGGAGATGGAAGAGCAAACGAGAAGGTACAGACTCTGGGAACCGCCCAATCAAAGCTGCTGGAAAAGTCATAATCCAGGATATTGCCTGCCTTCTTCCTGTACACAAGTCACTGGGAGAACTCTACATGTAAGTAGAAAATTCCAGAAGTCCTTCATGTGCGTGGAAATCAAAGATTGCATTATTGTTTAGTTGTTTTCATTTGTGTCAAACTCTTCGTGTCCCCATTGGGGGTTTTCTTGGCAGATACTAGAGTGGTCTGCCATTTCCTTCTCCAGCTCATTTTACAGATGAGGAACAGCAAGCAGGGTTAAGTGACTTGCCCAAGGTCATACAGCTACTATGTGTCTGAGGCTGGATTTGAATTCAGATCTTAATGACTCCAGGCCAGGCATTCTATCCATTGTCGTCTAGCCACCCTAAGGTTACATTGCACCTATTATTTTATTCTGCAGTTCCTCTATTCTGAATGACAAAAACCCATTCTTTGGGACTTTATATGCAAACTGTTCTCATTAAAGTCTGTTGTCATGGTTTTTATATCACTTGAAAGCTCTGGTCAGACTGCAGAAAAATTGGTTGGAATATTGGTACCTAGCTGTGGCTTCTTCTGACTTCCCAGAGTAGTGAGTGGTTGCAGTCTAGCTCCCTGTCTGTTCCTAAACATTGGATAAAGCCCCAGATGATCTTTGCTTCAGTTTATCAAGGAAAAGAAGGTGGCTTAATGAAAACAGAATAATGACTAAATTATTTCTAGGATCTCCTTCACCTTCAAGTATTTCTGTCTGTCTGTCTCTATTTAAAACCAGGAGTGTTTCATTTGGGAAGGTCATCTGGTAAGAATCATTCAACTTTTTGCTTTTCAGACTGAATATTAATGACATTCAGGAAACCTGTCAGAAGAATGCTGCCTCGGCCTTGCTTGTGGGACGCAAGGATCTTGTCCAGGTATTGACTTTCCCTTTGCAGAGACAGCACGTCGGATCTGGATTTTCTCATTGAACAGGCTGTTCACTTTTGAGTGCCATTTTAAAGTGTACAATATACATTTTAAATGTACAATTTACATTTACAATGTACATTTAAAATGTGCAATGTCAAAATCCTTCTTAATGGTCTATGCCAGCACATAGGACTTGAGCACCTTCCCAGTTTTCTCCTATTTCGTGCTTGATGTGAGGAAGTTGAACATTTTAAGGTGAGCACTATTTCTTGTTGTTTACTTTTCGTAGCTTACCCCTAGGCCAATATCTTGTACTTGAATGTCATTAGCTAAGGTTCTCTTGTTGAATCTTGTCATTTACACAACAACCCTTTTGCATGGTATTGGAGTTGGGCTGTAGGGGAACTGGCTACTTCCCACTTGACTCTTGTTCACCTTAACTTTTTTCTTGTCTATACTCCATACAAGAAACAGTGCTGAGACCCTGACTTTTTTAAAATAAAAAATCCTTAATACCTCCCATTCAGCACATCTAACAGCCCTCTAGCCAACATTGCTAAATTTGTTTTAACTCTTTGGGATTTGTGATAGGAATTATGGGTTTAACCTGTTTCTAAGAGGATCCAGTCCCAGAGATTCTTAGCATTCTGAGATGAGAACATACTTGATTTCCCCTCCCATGGCTTATTCTTGATATGAATGTCTTTCTTTGAAGCAGAATGACTCTTAACAGCTTTTAGTTTTCAGTAATGTTCTAGGATAGAGTGAATTGTGCAGGATAAACTGCTCTATCTGTCTCTATTACTATCTGTCTTAATAAAGTTTGGTGAAATGACGGGTTGGTGAAAATACTTGTAAAAATCTTTTCATTATTTCCTTTAACTTACGCCTCAAGCCATCCATTAAAGATATCAGATGCCTTTTGCTCAGCGAGGATCTGCAGAAATAGACTGTGTCACTGTTTCCAATGGAGGACTTTAGGGCATGTTTCCCCTGAAGTTATTAGTAATTCAAGATCGTTCATAGCAAAATAAGCAACTAAATTCCTGCCAAAAGTCTATTAGGTGGTTACCATAAGTGAACTGTTGATGTTAATGAACTAATAGAAATGCATGTTTTCTCTTAAAATAACTGCCTCTTTCCAACCAGGTGTTAGTTCTCTGGAATAATGAGTGTCGGGTATATGATCGGTGAATGCAAATTTTAGATAATTCCTCCCCCCCCCCATATCTCATTTTCTCATTTTAGCAAATAACAATTTCTTTAACTCTTTTGTATATATAAATGTTCATACATCTATAATTGACTTTACATAAACTGAGGCATTATTTGCCATTTGTTTTTACGTGTTTGATCATCAGTTAATCAGTAATTAAGTGCCAACTCTGTGCCAGGCCCAGTCCCAGGTTCTGGGGTTACAAATGCAAAAGTGATATAGTCCCTGTCCTCAAGGAATTTACATCCTGCAAGGGAGAGGCAACATATCCACCTGTCAATAAATATGGTATGTGTACAAAATAGCCTCCTTGAGGGGAGGGCAGAGACTTTGTTTTGTACTTATCCAGATCTACTACTGTGCTTTATACACAATAAAAATGGAATAAAATTTTACTAATTGATTATCAGGGACATGTCTGGACACTATAAGCTGACAGTTATGGAGGCATTCCCTCAGCTTGATGTGAGCAAAAAGGAAATTCACATCCAAATACCCCAGCTTTGTTCAAAGTGAGAGAATAAGTTGTGATTACAAGTAATACAGCAGAGTTCTTCATGATTGGTACTTTGAGATAAATGCAGTAAAAACAACCTAAATTTCCAAATGAAATATGAACTGCCAGGGAGATCCCAAACGAGGAATCCACATGTCATTTCCAGATTACCTAAGGACCCAAAAGAGGCAGCAGGAGGAGTGTAGAAAAGAATCCCAGAATATGACTTTTGGAAGAGACTTCAGTAGCCTTACAGGATTCACGCTGAGTGGCTATTGAGCCTTTTTTTCCTCAGTGACGTAGATCCAGCTAACTCTTGAGGCCACTTAGAGATAGCTCTGATTGTTCCAAAACTTGCCTCTCTCTCTCACTTCTGCTCATTGCTCCTGGTTCTTTTTTCTAGGGCCAAACTAAACAAATCGATCTCTCTTCTACGTGATAGCCCTTTATTTAAAATTTTAAAGACATCTGTCATTCTTTCCCTAAGTTAGGGATAGCTGAGAATTTTTTTGTGTCCTGGGCTGTTTGGCAGTCTGGTGAAGCCTGTGGACCCCTTCTTAGAATAATGTTATTCAGTGTATGAAATACATGGAATGCCACAAAGGAGGCTCATTGTGTTGAAATATATTTATCAAAATGTTTAAAAAGAAAACAAGGTCACAGACCCCAGGTTATGAACCCCCACCCCCAGTCTTCTCTTCTCTACACGAACCATCCCCAGGTCTTTTAGCTGATCCTCATGTGGTATGAACTGATAGCCCTTCATCCTGTCCACTACCATATGGGATGCTTTCCTACTTCTTAGTGTCCTTCTTTAAATGTAGTGCCCAAAGCTAACCATCATCCTCCATAGAGCTAAGGAGAGCAGGCTTCTGCCCTCTTTATTCCTGAATGTTCTGCCTGGATGTTCTAAGTACAACCTAAGATTGACAGTATTGGCTTTCTTACCTTCCATCACACAACATCACTCAACATAGTGTTGAGGTACTGAGGTCTGGCCATCTCTCCTCTATCTAGTACCTGTGAGGTTAATCCTTTTAATTAATCAAAATGGAATTATCCTATTCAGACTGGCCCAGTGTCCCAGCTTGTCAAGAACTTTTTGAAGCCTGCCTTTCACCTAGTTGGTTAGCCAGCTCTCGCTCCTATCCTAGCTTTGGGTTATCTGCCAGTTTGATAAGCATATCATCTATGCTTTCATCCAAGTCATGAACAGCTGTCTTAAACAGTGTAAGACAAAACGAAATAACATGTAATGGGGTTAAATCAACTGTTCATTGTTGTAGGGGCACTGAATCATCTAGCCTCAGCTTAGTTAATGAGGGTTAATTAAACTACTTGTATATCCTTGGAAAGTAGATGAGTTTTTTTTTCATTGCCTCTAGTCGCATCCTCACTTGGTTATATTCAGATGTGTTTCTTTGATCTTTCCAGGTTTGGTCACTGGCTACAGTAGCTACTGATCTTTGCCTAGGCCCAAAATCTGATCCAGATTTGGAAACACCGTGGGCCCGACATCCATTTGGACGACAACTATTGGAGTCCCTGTAGGTTTTTAAAAGCTGAAAGTTGTGAGAAGTTATAGGGTTGTAATGGGGTTGAAGGAATCTGTTCATTAAAACATATTAATCTAGTTTCCATGACACTGGTTAAGAAAAAACATATAGGATAAGATCTGTTTCTTTATGAGGAAGAAGCTCCTCCTCATATACATGTGTACTTTGAAGATTTTTGTTTGGCCCATAGCTGCCTCATCCTAATAATGCAGACTCGAGACCTCTTGAAGTGGAACGTTCCATTGTATAGAACTGCTAGGCCGCTGTTACAATGGAAAATGGCTTTGGGAGTCGCTGCTGGCAGCTCCTTTCTCCAGTTTACTCCTTGATGGTCAGTCAGATTGCTTCAGAGCACTGAGTCTGTGTTAAGTTCATGGCACTTTAATCTGATAAAATGGAGATTTGATAAGACTTAGCCATATGATATTTCTTGAGCAGAGTCCCCAACTGACAAGCTGACTGACGCCTCAGCATTGTGAAGACATTCTATCCATTTCTGCAGGCTACATCTTGCTTTACCTAATTGAGATTAGATTCTAGACTAATACCAATTGTTTATTATCTCTTTTGTAAAATGGGAAGATTACTACCTGCTCTGCCTATCTTACAAGATATCTGTAGAACTTAAATGAGATATGTGAGAACTTTGTAATTATAAAAGGCTAAACCCTGTAAGGTATCACTGCTGTCATTATTTATTCTCAGAGCAAGGGCCTTATGGTCTTTCCTTTAATATTCTAGTGCAAGGGCATTTTGGTAGCACAGTATTTGCTCTTTCCTATTAGGATAGACTTTGAGCTCTACCCTAGGGCTTCTTTAAAGCTCGTTGAGCCCAAATGGCTGCTTGGTTCCCCTTCAGCTGACTTCTCAATTGCTTTAGAGTAGGTCCCGTGATGGAAATAATAGGAAACCAGAAAGAATTGTCTGCCTCAAAATAAATGTTTACCAAAATTTGATCACAAGTTGCAGACATCCCAGATTTGCACTAGATAACTGGGCTTAACATTTGAATATGAAACACTAGAATTTTTGAAGCATTAATGGAAAACTAGGTAGAACCCATCAGAACTATGTCTCAGTCATGTGTAACCCTGAATGGCACTATATTCTACTCCATATTTAGATCAAAAAGCAAACCATTTGACCTATGGAAAGCCTCAGTTCTTGCCATTAAGTTTAAAATCAGAATATCTTATAGCTGATGTGAAAATTCATGAGTCATTATGAGATTGAATTCATCTCTTGCCAAAACTCTCTGTATTACCCTTTTTTCAGTTTCTGCCTTGGTTCATTATCTCTTCTGCTTTCCCTAGGCTGGCCCATTACTGTCAGCTCCGGGATGTCCAAACACTAGCCATGCTTTGTAGTGTATTTGAAGCACAGTCCAGGCCACAGGGAATCCTGAACCCCTTTGGACTTTTTCCCAATCGCTCTTCTAACCTTGTGTCCCACAGCCGATATGTAAGTATATTGACTTCTTGGTTAGTGCTCATTTTGACTAAATGACATGACCACCAGGGTGGTGCCTTTACCGTCCTGATAATTTTTGTTGTTGTCTTCCTTCCTGGCAGCCTAGCTTTACTTCCTCTGGCTCTTGCTCGAGTATGTCAGACCCAGGACTCAACACTGGTGGATGGAATATAGGTAGGCATGTAAATGACATAACCAGGGCTGTATTTCCAGAATCATAAAGGGCATGTGCAAAATTGCTAATTCACAACCTTTATTTGATTGAAATACTCATCATATGGAAAATGCAATCCATATCCAGAGAAAGAACTATGGAGTCTGAATGCAGACCAAAGCATACTATTTTTACTTTTTTTGTATTTTCTTTCTCATGGTTGTCCCCTTTTGTTCTGATTCTTCTTTCACAATATAACTAATGGGGCAGCTAGGTGGCGCAGTGGACAGAGCACCAGCCATGAAGTCAGGAGGACTTGAGTTCAAATTCAGTCTCAGACCAAGCCCTTGACACTTACTAGATGTGTGACCCTGGGCAAGTCACTTAACCTGAATTGCCTAAAACAAAAAAACAAACAAACAAACACAATATAACTAATGTGGAAATATGTTTAATCTGATTGTATATGTATAGCCCATATCAGATTGCATGCCATCTTGGGGAGGGGAAGAAAATTTAGAACTCAAAATCTTATAAAAACGAATGTTGAAAACTAAAAATTAATCTTAAAAAAAAAATCCTCATCATATTGTTCATTGTGCATTTCATTTTCTCCTAGAATTCATCTACACTGAAAGTCCTTTTAAAATAAGAAAACCATATTGCAGTGAGTCTATAGGCTTTAGGTATTTGTCTCTCTAAGTGAAGTTTCTCTACAGAGAGACTTCTTGGCAGCTGTTGGCCCTTGTTTTGTTTCCTTTTGTCTGCATCAGTCACATAAAAATGTGTAATGGGGCTTTTCTAGCCTTCGATCCAACAACCCTAAACCATACCCTCCACCTACCTGCCTTCTTCTGCCGCTGCCTGCTAACTCACCTGTGAGCGCCCCTCTTCTGTAAATGAGTAGGTGTGTCTATTTTCTTAATTGTAAGGTTGTCTTAATGATAAATGGGGAAACCAAGCCCGAGATGGGATAGTTCTTTAATGGTAGGTCTCTGACTTTCCCACACTGCAGGTCGTGAATTAGACCCACTATGTTAATGAGCCAGTTTTCAGATTATTTTCGTCCTTTGTCTTTTTGACTTTGCTAAAGTGGGTAGGGAAACAGAACATGCATCTTCACCCTGGGGAGAGTCCTCACCTGATGAATTACGCTTTGGGAGTTTGACTTACAGTGACCCTCGTGAGCGGGAACGAGACCAGCATGACAAGAATAAAAGGTAGTCCCTGTCTCCGTTGAGATCTCTACTTTTCTCTGGTATCCAAGGCCTTAAAACAGTTGTACTCACTGTTGTCGGAAACGTATGTTGCCACTCCACCATCTGATATCTAAGTCCTGAACGCCTTAATATCATGTCAGAAAAGTCATCTTCTTGTTACTGGAGATGACTAGAGCCTGTGATCTAATTTTCACTTTTATGGAATCCCCAAATTTCCTAAAATCAGGGTCCTCACTCTCAGAGAGGAATGTTCAGCAACTTTACTGTAGAGGGCTGGGTGGTGAGAGGTAGAAACAGTAGTTTTCTTTGTTACACGTGGATATTAAAGATTCTACTTGGCATGTTTTTCCCTAGAGAACAGAAAAAAAAAAATCACCATTTGTGGGACCTTATCAAATACCTGGGGTAGCTCAGAGCCTGCTCTTTCTCCATGCACCTGTCCTATAACTCAGGGAAGACACTGATTTATATTCAAAAGGCTCTTTGACCACTATGGGTATATGATGCTTACTCTTTTAGTCTTTATTGGGGGTGGAGGGGGGTGGCAACCAACAGAAGAATGTATGAATTTTCTCCAGGATCCTTGACCCTGCCAATACTCAGCAGTTTGATGATTTTAAGAAATGTTATGGAGAAATCCTTTATCGTTGGGGTCTGAGAGAGAAACGAGCTGAAGTCTTAAAGTTTGTGTCCTGCCCTCCTGACCCTCATAAGGGAATTGGTGAGTGCTGTGGATTTCAATCTCATCCTCTTCATTGTCTGACATATTCCTCTAATTTATATTGCTCAGTGCTTAAATCCTAGAATAAATGATCACTTTCCTATTTATAAGCTGAACTTTGACATTTTTAAAGTTTCTTCACTGAGCTTATGAAAACTTGGGGGCAGTAAGCCCCTCTTCAATTTTATTAGAAGGTACTAGCAGGCAGCAACATCTCTTATTGGTTCAAATACTGTTTATAACTAGCAACATTTTTAAGAGCCTTGCTCATTTGATTACCTAACAGAAAGAGCTGGAAACAATTCAAAATACTGATCAGCTTTGTTATCTGAAGTGTTAATGGGGTCCTCAGGTAAACATATCCCAGCTCTACAATGATCAGTTCCTTTTTCATTAGAACTAATCCCAGACGCAGCCAGTGTGGTGGACTATACCTCTCTCTCTGGCCTTGAAGTCAGGGAACATCTAGGTTCAATCCTGCTTCTGAAACACTCCAAGAAAATCCCCTCAGTTGTCAGGGCTCCAGATCTGATTGATACAGGGCACTTTCCCCCTGAAAGTTCCCTACACCAGTGAAATCACAGGTCTGAACCAGCCAGACAAACAAATGAGCAAAAATCCTATGAAAAAAACTAACATTGTTACTTCATTTTTTCTCTCATCTGAAACCATTTGTAGAGTTTGGTGTGTATTGCAGTCACTGCCGGAGTGAGGTTCGTGGAACCCAGTGTGCCATCTGCAAGGGATTCACGTTTCAGTGTGCCATCTGCCATGTGGCAGTGAGAGGCTCCTCCAACTTTTGCCTGACCTGTGGACATGGCGGGCACACCAGCCACATGATGGAATGGTTTCGCACCCAGGAGGTGTGTCCCACCGGGTGTGGATGCCACTGCCTGCTTGAGAGTACATTTTGAAATCACAGGCTGTGGACACTTTGTGGCAGACCCCACAAAAGCCCAGGGATCTCACTCCCTGCTGGGACTGGAATCTCTGTGCCTCCCCGGAAATGGTAGTCTCATTCACCGACCTCCTTTCTGACCTGGCTGCTTTTTTTGGGATTCCTTCCCAGCTTGTCTGCTGCTGGCAGTGGTCACCACTCGAAGGAAGTTGAGTCAGACATAAAGCAGTGCATCATGTGTTCTCAGCTCAGGGGAGCCAGCACATTGGAGGTTTTCTTGGAGAAGAGCACTGGCTTACAGGGCCAGGGCTTATCAGGGTTGATGTCCTTCCTGATGCCAAGCAGGACCAGAACAAAGAAAAGAGACCAAAGCCAGACCCAAAGGACCATCTTCTCAGCCTGCTGACTGTAACTGTTCATTGAATTGAAAAGTGGTTCTTTCCTGGCAGTGGCTTTGGAAGCTTGATTGTGCATTTAATGAGCTGATGGGCAGTGACCTTTAAGCTATGACATTTAAATTATGAATATGTGATATACTTAAGGATTTTTAAGATGGTTTTTATTTTTGAGCTGCTATTTCTTGGCCAGTAAAATTCTGGTAATTGTGTAAGATAAAGAATTAAATAACATTTTAATGGAGCATGTATGATTTTCCTACTTGTTGTTAACTAAAGTTGCTATAAAAAGATCAAACTAAATTCTTAGGCTGTGTGAGAGAAAGTGCTGGTTTGCTTCTGTGGGAATCTGACCTCAGAAAATAATTTCACTTAGTAAATGAAGATGGAAGAATGTTTCTAAGAGAAATACCCTGTTCCTTCTCTGAATGAAGATGAAGATGATGTGATGGCACCTGGAGCAGTTTTCTCCATCTTTCTGTTGGTGTCATTTGTTTTGAACTTTATGCAAAGTGACATCCCAGGTGGATGTGATTAAGGTGCTTGCCTGTCCTCTTAAATGCTTTTTTCCCTTTCACCCTTCCTCATCCCTGACTCCGCTTACTAGGTTTTTACACAGCCTAAGTGGGCCTGGGAAGGGAGGCCCTTACTTAGCAAATATTTCTGTTGAGAAAATTCACTTTTCAGTCAGTCAAGCAAAACCTGAAAGTTTACAGCTCCAAATAGATGTTGGTTTAATTAATATGAATACAATTCCATGGCTTGAAACATTTTTATAAATGATACTCAAGCATCTGTGACCATGCTTTGGACTAACTGTGCCTTAAAGAAACAAGCTCCAGTCTTTGTCACAGCTTGAAGACTGGCTTTTTTAACAGGACTCTAAACTTAGCCAAGTTGCCAGCGCACCTGCATCCTTCTAGACTTTTGGCCTCCCCAGCAGGGAACATAAAAAAAGTTGGCAGAGCCAGGAGCATTGGGGATGCCAAGAAGTCAAAAAGACCAGGAGTTCCTTTCAAATGTGCTTTTCTCTTGTCTGTGCAGTTTTATCATTGGCAGTAACAAATGAGAGCCTCCGGTAGCTGAACACACAATGCAGTGACTGTCTGAAATTTGCACAGAGGACAAAGGATCCATCACATTTCCTAATGGAATCCCAGGTTGCACAGAGGAAAAAACACTTTCCCGCCTCCAGGTTGCTTAGTCTAATGTGAAAGTTTGTCTCTCTGTTCCTATCAAGAATCAAATGTATTTTTTGTTTATAAGTATGTTGTTATGTAGAAGTCCTTCCTTCTGAAGTTGTTTTTAAAAAAACAAACCCCAAATCAAGTTTTGTTAAAATCTTGTGTGTCTGTTGTTATAATTGTGTGCTAAGGAATTTAAAGTTAAAAGAAATAATTCTCTCTTCTTTCTCTTGCCTTTAAAAGTGGAAATTCCTTTCAGAATTTGTCACATTCCACAGTTGAGATTCCTAACTTTCTAGAAATGTTCATATATTTAAAACTTCTCCCTTCACTTATGCTGAATCATTGAGTGCTTGTCATAGTGGTGCTCTCTCTCCTCCCCTCCCCCAGCCTCCCTCTCTCTTTCAGAATAGTAGAGCGGTCTTCTCAGAAGGATATAAACAGTTTGGGGCTAAAAATTCTCATTGTCTGATCCCGAATGCCTATTCTTCCCTCCAGTGATGGAGTGATGCTTATTTTTGAAAATACAGTTAAACTGAGAGAACAAAAGAAGAAAGAAATAGGGCATGTGGGGTCCCTACCTGGCCTGTAGAGAGGGCACCCCACATACAGGGTCTGTTTTTGCCTAGGTGGAGTGTGATTGAGACAGTTGGGCCTAATTTGACATGTAAACAAATTGCTGCCATGTCCCCTTTGGAAATCTTGCCTAGGCGTGGTTCATGTTGCTTTTTTGCATACCCTTTGCTATACAGAAATGAGCATCTTCCCCCAGAATCAGGGAAGGGCCAGGAGTACTCTAGACACCCAAGGTGCGGTGCCAGAAGCAAATGACGGGTGTCTAGGCCAGGCAGCTGCCCCCAGCAGCCCTTTCAGAGAAGCCTGAGGCCTCTAGCCTTCCCTTCCCATGGTTCTAGAAGTAGCCACAAGGCTACTGCCTCCCCAGCTGGGCCTGAGGTGGGATTTCTCTGTTTCCTCATACAGTTTTCAAAGAGAGAAGCTTTGAGAAATGTCCAATTCTGGGGCTCCTGTAACATCCTCAGAGGAAGTAACTAATTGTGCAGCCACCAGCTGGGACTGAATGGGACATGTGAAAGGTGTGATTCATATGTGAGTTTCACCCTTACCCCCAGCCCCTGAAAAGCCAGCTCCCCTTGTAGTCTTCACATCTGTGATTTCAGCTCAGCAGGTTAGCAAGGGTTTAGGTACACACTGGTCCCTTTCCTCCTCCTCCCAAGGTTTCTATTGAAACATATCCCAGGGGAACTGTGCTAGTAGGGAGTTCTCATAAACCAATTTATCCCCTCAGGCAAAGGGTCTTGGCCATAGTCTTCTCATTTGCACAATTATGCAATTAATACAGCAAAAGAAAAGGAAAAGAAGGGAAAATCATGTCACCATGTGAGAGCTTCACAACAGCTTTGGAGTCCAGCTGTCAGCCCTGTGCTGGAACATATATTTGGGGGAATTCTCTGTAAAAATGATGGAGGATATGTTTGGCTGTGGCATTTACTGATTGATTCCTCGTAGGTTACTTTTATTTGCTGCTGGTTTGAAAAAAGAGGTGTGGTGCATCTCTTAACAGTTCTCATATATTAAAAGCCAATAACATTTTGAAAAGTTCATTTTTTTTTCTAGAAAACAAAAATATATAAGCAGCCTAGTAATAGTGTACCAGATTTTGAAGGCAGTGATTTCCCCTGAATGCAGTAGGTGGGAAAACCATACTGTTTTCTGTGACATCCTTTGATAGCAGGAGTACCAGCCGCATTAAATAGCATTAATTTCATACCCACTTATGTTTTGTAAAGTAAGTTGTGTAGACAACCAGTACCTTAGCAGTTTACCATCTAAAAAGAGAATTGTCGGGTTTCCTAAGGAGGATGAGAGTTTGGAAGTATTGTTTAGTTATAGGGAAGTAGACTTAGGTTTTGGATCTGGCTTAGTTTCACTTCTGGTTGCACAAGAATTTCATCTTGGTAGCAAGTATGATTTAGTGATGACAGCTTTGGGAGGATAAAGTATTTGTCATTAGAATCAGGTATTCAGGCATGCCATTGGAATTTTCCTCCACCACGGCTGTTGTTGATGAGGTCTAGAGGTTAGGGGTCCTGGAATCCCAAAATCACAACACCTGGGTCCTGCCCGAAAGA